TTGGATTTGGCCGAATCAAATCAGGGACAGTGATCCAAACCAAAGAATCGAATCACTATCCCCGATTCAGGCTGAAACTGAATCTGAATTTAATAAGGCCCGCTTTGCACACCCCTAATAGGTACGTGCCTCAAGACATGCTTTAAGAACAGCATTCCTCAGAATTAATTTTTTTGCTCTACGATCAGTCTGAATCTGATACACGTCTCCCAGTTATAAGCACCTTTTAAAGACATCATCAATTAGAGAGGAAAATCTAAAAGCATTCATGTGGTTGTAACTGACATAAAAACTAATTCCTTGGATTCAATGTTTCTAGTATTCTGGAGGCAACTGTATTGCACTATATGAAACAGAGGATAATACAATTAAAAAGGAGCTTAATTTCATTTCTCTCTCAGTGGGAGGGTTGGGATTTCAGGATCTTCAGGGAATGTAAAGCAGCATAGGATGACTTTCAACACAGCTCCATTGCTTTTCTCAACATTTTGGCTTGGTCAACAACCATGATTCAAGCATTTTTTGGATCTCAAGTATTTAAGGATGTAATTTTTTAAAGTAATAGCTTAGCTCATTTTTTCTTAGACTGAACTTCAAAGGTTTTAATTTCATAATGCAGGGAAACAAATGCCTTAACTTTCAAGCCTCACTCTTCACGTTCTCTTAAAGATTTTGGGTCATTAGTGCAATTTAAGTTACAAGATTGGACCACAAATATCTGCCAGCTTAAACACAGGGCAGGGACTATAACAGAGAGGTCAGTTTCAGAGAGAGATGGTGTTAAAACTCTACCATTCTTCTGTGCCAGCGTCACCTGGCATGCTTTAATAATGAAACAGCTGCAGAATTTCAACTTACTACAGTACTGGAGTTCTGAAGCAAAGCATTTATTTTCAGAGACCTTTAAACTTCTTAAACAATTCCATATGGGGATGTGAGTGGCAGAAAATTTAATGTAAACTTTCAAAAGGAACTGCTCACCAAACTCTGTGCTTTATGAAAGGGAGCTGGAAAATATCCCTTTCAAAAGGCAATGGAATCATCCAAAGTCCAAGAAGCAAGGTCCAGTTGTGATCTCCAGGGAGCAGAGATTATATCTTCAGAGATAGTATCTCCATGTACACACACAGCAATTATAGATCTGTGCTAATTTGGGAAAAATGTTGAAGTTCAGTTTGTTTTCACACTCTTTTGTGAAGGCCTCCAAGTATCTTGCATCCAGTGATTAAAAAACATGATTCAAATCCTGGCTTCCCTAATCCTAAGGAATGGAAACTCCCTTCCCCTCTGCATGAAGATCTTGTTTATTCTCTACCAACTAGTGAACTCTGTTCAAACCTCTTTGCTTTTTCCAGTGCAATATAAATGCCAGACACAGAAAGATCTGTTAGCCTTCCTTACATATGAGGTGTTTTTTAAGTTCATACATGAATACTACAGTTTAGTCAGATTTGATTTATATTGTATTCTGTTTACAACAATTGATTTTTTGTTGATTTAAAAGATCTCAAGCAAGGTGGCATCAGTGACTGACAGAGGCTGTTATATCAAATAGTGATTTACTATAACACGGCAGTTAGCACCCTGGTAGATAAGTACCAGGAGAGATCCATTCAGGATTCTGTTGTAGAGTGAAGGTTTAGATGTTCGAACAATGGGCTAACAATGCCAGTGCAAAACTAACTTTTATCATGGAATCTAAAGATCTAGGTAGGAGAAATATAACATAAGCCAGACAGATGCATATATTCCCCCTGCTTGTCTAAAAAATACTCCAGCATCCAAAGGACCTCAAATACACCATTGAAAAATAAGTACAACATACTACACTTGCCTGATTGTATTTTTTTTAAATCCATATATGCCCAATGAGACTTAACTGAACTCATTTTGAAAATCCTCTAGCATCCTACAGTTATCATGCAAAGAATTGGAGCTCTTGACTGTACACTGTAATACTTTGGCCGTATCACTACAGAAAGGTGCTGTCCTCTGTAGTGATTAGATAAGGTTTGCAGTATGTGATATTCTACATGCATGTGTTCCTCTCCTTGTTAGAATGCTGCTGATGCTATTACTGCCTTTAATCACATACTACACATACTCTTTTCACAGAAATCAGCCCTCCAAATTTAAGGTGCATGGTTTTGTGTTTTTTTGCCAGAGTAGAGGCATAAAGACACTATGTTACAAAATGGCTGCCAGCTTCTCTCTCAGTAAGCCAGCAGGAAAGTTGGAGTCTAACATTAACTCTTTCATTTCATGGATGTTCTCAGCTTCCTAACGGAGAGAGAAGCATCCATTTTGCAATACAAGCCTCTATGAAAGAGCTAGGTCTAGGCCATGACTCTGGACAATTTTTGTCTACATTCTGTCTCCCCCCCAAAAAGGCGCATTTCTTATTTGGGGTGTTGTTATGCCAGAAAATATGCTATTTAAAAAGTATTAGGTCCTGTAAGCATTGAAAGTTCAATCGAACATTTAACAAGAATTTAAAAATTGATGCTGTTACTCACATTATTGATCATAAGGTGCATGATTGTTTTTGGTATCAGATCTCGGATGCACTTATTGATAATAGACATGTAGGAGTCTACAAGGTTGCGAATAGTCTCCACCTGCCTTTCCAGTTGTGGATCCATGGAGAAATTGTCTGCTTGGCCATTCTCATCATTTTCAGCCTATGCAAAAGCAAAAATAAACATAAATGCTTCTTCCCATGCTATTAGCTCCACTGAAAGTTGAAACAACAGGTAGAATAACACTTGGTAATATGTCATCATAATTTTTGATATCAGCATGTTTGGAAATGTACTTGTCATCAATCTGTTTTCCATTAGTTCTTAACATAAGCAAATCAGGATCTGTGACATTAAAGAGGTCCATCTTGAGAGGGTGTTTCATGCTGTAGGTTCCATTACAATAAAGAACTGAGGAAGTAGCTGAAACCCCATGAAATTCTATAAAGTCCCTTCTTGCAGTGCCTGCTAGCAGACAGTCCATATTTCAAATTCAGCCTGCCAAACTATCTGCTGTTCCATGCACAAAGTAGCACTAGAATCCTAATTTGTAACCTCTACTCCTACGGATAAATTATATCCTTGTTATTAAGGACCGACTCAGCTGTCACAAACATTAACCCACCTACAAACACATTAAACGCGACTGTAGGCGTGTGTGTCTGTGCAGTCAGTTTGGACGGTTTGAAACCAAGAAAACTACTGTGCAATTTGGACTGTCTGAAAATAAGAACACCAACGTGCATTGGTTTTATATTAAATTTAACCTGGATAATCCAGGGTACCATCATCCTTTATTCCTTTATCCACACCAATACAAAATAGGTCTTGATGAAAATGCAGAACAGAATTTAAGCGTTTCTGGTTTTGACCCCACCACCTTAAATGCTCAGCACTACATCAGAAAATGGTATTTTAAGGTGCATGAAGTTAGGCAGCCCTACACCTGATGCACAGAAAAATCACAAATGCTTTGGAAAATCTTGGTTTTTGTTGCATGTATCATTTACACCTTCACTGCCAAGCATAATTTTTTTTAAACAAATCATAAGGTGACACATGGGCTTTGTGCTAACTCTTTGCAGAAGTGTGAATTTTGCCCCACCAGAGTAAACTTAAGGTCAGGCCTTCTTTTTTAATACATTAAAATGGGCATTAAAGAGGAAAAGATATCACCAACAGGGAAAATGTCCACCATGCAGAAAGCCATTTTTTCCTAGAAAATCAGGGCATGCTTTTAGTCTTAACATGTAGGTAAATCATTTAGAATAGCATTTCACAATTACTTTTTATAAACTGCAGCTTAATCCAACAAAAGGAGAGAAGCCATACTTTTCATTTTTTCATTACTGAGTTGAGAAAAGTCTATATACCATTTAGAAAACAAAACGTGCTGGTTGTCATTGCCTTTAAAAGAACAGGTTGCAGCAAGTTTAAAAGGTTAAACATTTTTAATTATAGCCAAACTAATGGAAAAACAGCTTATCTAACACTGTTAAAATAATGAAGAGTTTCCTACAAACTCAAAGATGGTAAATGGCTCTGAAGAACTGTAAATGATGGAAATTCTGTTCTGGATTCTGTAACACCAGTAGACACACTAACACACAAACCTGAGCCATTCTGTTAATGTACTGCATATGGTGGAGTCACAGAGTGCAGATTGAATGCGTCTTCCCCTCCCTTACCCTGGACTTGGAAAGAAACAAGCAGTAATTTCCCCTTCCAAAATTCCCAAAATAAATGGAAAATCATACATCTATGGAATTTTTTCTTTTTGCCAAGTAACTGCAGACAGAAAATGTCCCTTTCCCAGCTCCCTCAAATCTAATGTGAATACTCTATCACCTCCTCCTCACTGACTATATACTGTACAGTATGTCTACGGGGTTTTTTCTGTTTAAATTACAGGATTTCAATAACATTCTTTGATGGTTAAGCAGCTAAGTGACAGATGTTTATCATTATCCTCATCAAGGGAACATAAAATAAAAATAGTAATTTGTCTCTGATCTTTAAGGTGAATGGTAATAACCTGCAAACATTTAACCTTTTCTATGTGGGTTCATTGGTGATATTTAAAAATGTGGATAATACTTCAAGAGTTAATTTGCTTTTTTAAATGGTTAAACAGATTGAACTTCATATAGTTGATGTATTTTTATTTTCTTTATTTATCTGTAAATTTGAAAGAAATATATTTTTAAAAGTCTTTCAGTAATAATAGTCTTCACCATTTATTGTCTTTTTACTGGGGTCTCTTGCTTACATTTTGAGGTCTTTGGGGCAGGGAATGTCTTTCTGTTTGCATTTGAACAATACCTACTCCTGTGGTGTCTTGATCCACAATGAGGGCTCCTAGACAACACTGCAATTATAATCATCATCAAAAAGGGCAGTAAGAACCAACTATAGGAATTATCAGGCTGACTCCAATGTTTTTATGCCTGAATTGTCTTTCAAGGAATAAAGGTACTACATAAAATCAGATTTAAAAAACAAACCAGAAAAGATCTAGTACAATCCCACTCCATTTACATTTCAGTATTTTAAAATTGCACAATTTAAACACTATGGAACATGAAACACTAATGTTAGTACAATACACCTTTAGCAAGGCATACTAAACTATCTGAATGCATTCCAATTTACAACCTTCTAATAGGAACAGGTTGATGAATCAACCAATGACAGAATAACTTTAAAAATCTCCTCTTTTTATAACCATGTGACCATTTATTAAACATGTTTAAAGGTAATGACCAAACTGTTCAAGCCACTGGTTTATTTATGAATACTGATTTTTCCTGCATACAACGAGACAGAGAGAGAGACAGAGTGTGTGTGTGTGTGTGTGTGTG